GCCTGGCCAGTGGCTCCACGCTGTAATTCCAGCAACTTTGGGAGGCCGCGCGCAGGCGTCCAAATCCTGAGTCCAGGAGTTCGAGACCCAGCCTGGCCAACATCGTGAAATCCTATCTCTACTAGAAATACAGAAAATTAGCCGGGCATGTGGCGGCGCCTGTAGTCCCAGCTACTCCGGAGGCTGAAGCAGGAGAATCGCTTGAACCTGGGAAGCTGGAGGTTGTAGTGAGCTGAGATGGTGCCACTGCACTCCAGCCTGGGTGACAGAGCGAGACTCGGTCTCAAAAAAAAAAAAAAAAAGGAAAAAAAAAGTCTGGCCTCTGCAGCACACAAACCAGACAGGAAGCCCTGCCCTCACAGAGCCCCAGTTCTGTGGGGAAGAAGAGACAAAGCGACCTAAAATATGGCACGGCGTGACAGACGCTGTGAAGCAGGGGAAGCATGTAGCAGTGTGGCAATGCTCTGATGACTGAGTGGCCAGGAAAGGTCTCAATGATAAATGGCGTGAAGGAGGGAGCCACGGAGAGATGTGGAGGGAGAGCACTCCAGGGAGAGAGAAGAGCAAGTAAAATGGCACTGAGGCAGGAGTGGGCCTGGTGTGGCAGCAAGGAGGCTAGAGTGGCTGGAAGGGCATGAGCCAGGGGAAGAAGGTCAACTGAAAGCAGATGGGGCATGCGGCCAGACTCTGCAGGTCCCTGCAGGCAGGTCATGGTGGTCCCTGTTTGGTGGGACAAGACAGAGATGGACAGAGACCCAGAGAGAAGGGGATGGGGACTCAGAGAGAGAGGGACAGAGACCCAGAGAGAGGGGGCAGAAAGAGAGAGGGAAACAGAGACCCAGAGAGAGGGGGACAGCGACCCAGAGAGAGGAAGACAGAGACCCAGAGAGAGAGGGGGACAGAATTTATTCTGAGTGAAATGAGAGCTGCTGGAGTGTAATGAGCAGAGGAAGGATTATAAACAGCTTTGAGTTATTTAAGAGTCGGGTTGGGCGCAGTGGTTCACGCCAGTAATCCCAAGGATTAATCAAGGATTGTTTGAGCCCAGGAGTTCAAGACCAGCCTGGGATGATCTTTCATGAAGACGGCATCTCTCTTTTTCTTTCTTTGCTTTTTTTTTTTGAGACGGAGTCTCACTCTGTTGCCCAGGCTGGAGTACAGTGGTGGGATCTTGGCTCACTGCAACCTCCACCTCCCAGGTTCAAGCGATTCTCCTGCCTCAGCCTCCTGAGTAGCTGGGATTACAGACCCGTTCTACCATGCCCAGATAGTTTTTGTATTTTTAGTAGGGACGGGGTTTCACCATATTGGTCAGGATGGTCTTGATCTCTTGATCTCGTGATCCACCCACCTCAGCCTCCCAAAGTGCTGAGATTACAGGCATGAGCCACCGCGCCTGGCCACCAGCCCTGTCTTTAAAAAAAAAAAAAAAAAAAAAAGCACAAAACCAAGTAACCTCGGTCTGTCACCCAGGCTGGACTACAGGTGCACACCACCATGACCAGCTAATTTTTGTATTTTTAGTAGAGACGGGTTTCACCATGTTGGCCAGGATGGTCTCGATCTCTTGATCTCGTGATCCACCCCCCTCAGCCTCCCAAAGTGCTGGGATTACAGGCGTGAGCCACCACGCATGGCCCATATTTTTATTTTCAAACAATCTGATATGGTAGTTTAACTGCAAACCCTGGGCTGTTGCAATACCAGAAGGTAGAGACCCTTAATTGGGGTGCCCAATTCTAATTGTGTGGTTTTTTGGTTTTCGTTTTTTGTTTTTTTTTGAGACAGAGTCTCGCTTTGTTGCCCAGGCTGGAGTGCAGTGGCATAGTCTTGTCTCACTGCAACCTTCACCTCCTGGGTTCAAGCGATTCTCCTGCCTCAGCCTCCCTAGTAGCTGGGATTACAGGTGCATGACACCATACCCGGCTAATTTTTGTATTTTTAGTAGGGACTGGGTTTCACCATGTTGGCCAGGCTGGTCTCGAACTCCTGACCTCAGGTGATCCACCCACCTCGGCCTCCCAAAGTGCTGGGATTATAAGCATGAGCCACCGTGGCCAGCCCTAATGTTCTTGAAGAATTTAGGTGAAGGGTATTTCAGCTGTAAGTTGAGGAGTTCAAAGACACTGAATAGGTAAGGCAGTATTATGTGACTAGTTAATTCCTACAGTGACCATCAAATGTGTCTTTGAAACAATATTCCTTGGCCAGGCATGCTGGCTCATGCCTGTAATTCCAGCACTTAAGGAGGCCAAGGCAGGCGGATCACCTGAGGTCAGGAGTTTGAGACTAGCCTGGCCAATGTGGTGAAACCCCATCTCTACTAAAAATACAAAAATTAGCTGGGCATGGTGGTCTGTGCCTGTAATCCTAGCTATTAAGAAGGCTGAGGCAGGAGAATCGCTTGAGCCCAGGTGTCATAGGTTGTAGTGAGCTGAGATCGTGCAACTGCACTCCAGCCTGGGCAATGGGAGTGAAGAAAAAAAAAAAAGCTGTTGTATTTTGACGGGATGTACTATCTATTTCTTTAATAGTATGTGCTTTATGATAGTGTGTGCTTTGTAATAGTATGTACTTAACTCAGAGGATGTTCTTTTTATTCCAGATTCCCTAGCCATTTTGTCCATCCTACCTGCTCTTCTTATTCCCCATCATGTACATTTCTTCACTTGCCAGATTCCCATTTAAATAAGACATGTGTGAAGAACTATGAGAGCAAGAAGTACTCGGATCCCAGTCAGCCAGGCAATACAGTACTTCACCCAGGAACTAGACTAATACAAAAGCTACACACATCCACTTGCTGGCTGCGAGAGGTTCCTGGCAAACCTCAGCTGGAGCAAGCCCCAAAACATCCACAGGTGACGAGCCCTCAGGCCACAAAAGAAACTGGCATGAAGATTAAAGAAGGCGAACAATCTTATAGACAAAAAATCATGGATGAACTTAAATATTTTTACAATGGATTCTACTTACTTTGGATTGATGCCAAAGTTGCTGCCAGAATGGTTTGGAGGCTGTTGCATGGACAGGTCCTAACCAGACGAGAGAGACGAAGGGTAGGCAAGAATCATATTTGAGAAAGAAAATGTGAAATTAAAATGAACTATTTGGGAACTCAACTATTTAAATTCAATGTAAACTTCATCTTAAAAATCTCAGAGTAGGAATAATAACTGCTGGTGAGAACCAGTTTCTTGTCTGCAACTGACTTACTGTACAACTTTAGTCAGTATTCTGGAATTTGTTATATATTTTCCTGTAGAACGGTTTTTAAAAAAACTTTTATTTTAGGTTCAGGGGTACATGTGCACATTTGTAGAATGGTTATAATTATGTTTTTTTAAATTTTTCCAAGAAGTTGAGAGACTTCGTGTTTCAACTGTTGTTAAGATATTAAGCAGATGCATTTTAAAACCCAATTTTGGCTGGGCACGATGGCTCACACCTGTAATTCCAGCACTTTGGGAGGCCAAACACAGTGAAACACTGGCCAACACAGTGAAACCCTTGTCTACTAAAAAAATTACAAAAATTAGCCGGGCATGGTGGCACGTGCCTGTAGTCCCAGCTACCCAGGAGGCTGAGGCAGGAGAATGGCTTGAACTTGGGAGGTGGAGGTTGCAGTGAGCCAAGATCGTGCCACTGCCCTCCAGCCTGGAGTGAGATGCCGCTGCAAAAACACAAACAAAAAAAAACAATTTTAAGTGATACAATGCTATTAAAGTATGGACCCTCTAACATAGATGAAGTCTAGGAGATGCCAATAATATTTTTATTGTCGTAGACTTCCTTTAAGATATCCCATAAAAATTGCTTCAGAGCTATGGTAAACAGGAAAACCCTGCCTTTTCGTTTTTATAAACAGCTGCAGAAAACCTGTCTTGGGTTTTTAACACTTTAAGAACCAAGCTGAGCATGGCTCATAGGCCTATAATCCCAGCTCCTTGGGAGGCTGAGGTGGGAGGATTGCTTGAACCCAGGAGTTTGAGGCCAGACAGGGCAACATAGCAAGACACTATCTCTTGAAAGAAAGAAAATGAACTGAGACAGGGTTTTTTTGGTTTTGTTTTTGATTTTTGTTTTTGGCATGCCCTAAAATAATGAATATTGCATATGCATTTAATTCTATAGCTGTTGAGAACTTGTGTTGATTTCTTCCGCCTGGTTCCATTTATGGTGTTCATAATTGTACCCTTCATGGAATTCTTATTACCAGTGTTTCTGAAACTCTTCCCAGAGATGTTGCCATCAACTTTTGAAAGTGAATCCAAAAAGGTATGTAGGATTTTTTAACTTTAATAAAATTTAATAAACTTTATTAGAGGAGTTTTTAGGTTTACAGAAAAATTGGGTAGAAAGTACTACTTCTCCCCACCCCACCCCATCACAATTTCTCCTGTAATTAATATCTTGCATTAGTGTGCTATATTTGTAATGATTAAAAAACCAATATTGATATGTTATTATTAAAGCTCATACTTTAGGGTTCACTCTTTATGTTGAAGCAGTTCTGTGGGCTTTGCAAATGCATCTTCATGTATCCACCATCACAGTATCATACAGAATAGTTTCACTGCTCTAAAAATCCACGGTGGCTTACGTCTGTAATTCCAGCACTTTGGGAGGTTGAGGCAGGTGGATCATCTGAGCCCAGGAATTTGAGACCAACCTGGGCATCATAGTGAGACCCCATTTCTACAAAAAATGCAAAAATTAGTCGGGCATGGTAGCTCATGCTGTGGTCCCAGCTCCTTGGGAAGCTGAAGCAAGAGGATTGGTTGAGCCCAGGAGGTCGAGGCTGCAATGACCTATGATAGTGCCACTGCACTCCAGCCTGAGTGACAGAGGGAGACCCTGTCTCAAAAAAAAAAAAAAAAAAAAAATCTCCGTGCTCCACCTATTTGTCCCTCTCCCTTCTTCCCCCAACCCATGGCAGCCACTGATCTTTTTATTGTCTCTGTAGTTTTGCCTTTTCCAAAATGTCATGTACTTGGGATCATACAGTGTGTAGCCATTTTAGATTGGCTTCTTTCACCTAGCAATATGCATTTCAAGTTCTTTTCATGGCTCAATTCTTTTTATCACTGAATGATAATCCATTGTATGGCTGTACCACAGTTTGTTTATCCATTCTCCTATGAAAGGATACCTCGATTGCTTCCAGGTTTTGGCAATTATGAATAAAACTGCTATAAACACTTATGTACAGGTTTTTGTGTGGATGTAAGCTTTCAACTCATTGGGGTAAATACCTAGGAGAGTAATTGGTGGATCGTATGGTAAGACTATGTTTAGCTTTTAAGAAATTGCTAAAGTGTCTTCTGAGGTGGCTGTATTGTTCTATATTCTTACCAGCAAAGAATGAGAGTACCAGCATTTGATGTTGTCAGTGCTCTAGACATTAGCCACGAAATAGGTGTGTAGTGTGGTATCTCACTGTTTTGATTTGCAATCTCCTGATGTCATATGATGTTGAGTATCTTTCCTGTGCTTATTTACCATTTGTGTATCTTCTTTGGGGAGGTATCTGTTTAGATCTTTGGTCGACTTTTTTTTCTTTTTTGAGAAGGAGTCTTGCTCTGTCACCCAGGCTGGAGTGCAGTGGTGCAATCTCAGCTCACTGCAACCTCTGCTTCCCGGGTTCAAGTGATTCTCCTGCCTCAGCCTCTCGAGTAGCTGGAATTAAAGGCATCCACACCGCGCTCAGCCAATTTTTGTATTTTTAGTGGAGACAGGGTTTCACCATGTTGGCCAGGCTAGTCTTGATCTCCTGACCTCAGGTGATCCGCACACCTCAGCATCCCAAAGTGCTGGGGTTACAGGCGTGAGCCACTGCATCCGGCCCTTTGGTTGACTTTTTAATGGTTTTTTTTTTTTTTTTTTTCTGATTGTTATTTTGAGTTCTTTGTATATTTTGGGTAAAAGTCCTTTATCAGATATAATACGCAGATGTTTTCTTCTACTCTGTGGCTTATCTTTTCATTCCCTTAACCATGTATTTCACAGAGCAAGTGCTTTTAACATTAATGACATCCAGCTTATCGGTTTTTTTCTTTCATGAATCATGCTTTTGGTGTTGTAGCTAAAAACTTACTGCCAAACTGAAGGTCACCTACATTTTTCTCCTATTTTATTCTAGAAGTTTTACAGTTTTCTGTCTTACATTTATGTCTGTGATCCATTTTATTTATTTATTATTTATTTATTTTTTTGAGATGGAGCCTTGCTGTGTCGCCCAGGCTGGAATGCAATGGTGCGATCTCGGCTCCCTGCAACCTCCGCCTCCTGGGTTCAAGCAATTCTCCTTGCTCAGCCTCCTGAGTAGCTGGGATTACAGGCATGTGCCACTACACCCAGCTAATTTTTGTATTTTTAGTAGAGCCAGGATTTTCCCATGTTGGCCAGGCTGGTCTCGAACTTCTGACCTCAGGTGATCCGCCCACCTCGGCCTCCCAAAATGCTGGGATAACAGACGTGAGCCACTGCTCCAGGCCGAGTTAATTTTTATGAAAACTGTAATGTCAGTATATAGATTCATTTCTCTCTTTTTTGTATGTGGATATCTAGCTTTTCCAGGACCATTTGTTGAAAAGATTTTCTCTTCTCCACCAAATTCTAACTTGATTTTAACTGTCAAAAGAATAAAGAGAACAGACTGGATGCAGTGGCTCATCCCTGTAATCGTAGCATTTTGGGAGGCCGAGGTGGGAGGACTGTTTAAGCCCAGGAGTTCAAGACCAACCTGAGCAATATAGCGAGACCCCTGTCTCTAAAAAAAGTTTTTTAAAAATGTAAAACAAATTAGCCAGATGTGGTAGCATGCACCTGTATTCCCAGCTACTTGGGAGACTGAGGCAGGAGGATTGCTTGAGCCCAGGAGGTTGAGACTGCAGTGAACTGAGATCATGCCACTGTACTGCACTCCAGCCTGGGCAAGAGTGAGATCCTGTTTAAAAATAAAAGAATAAAGAAAACAGAAATCCACTGTTACTGCGGTGACTAGTGGAACAGTAGGTATGATTTAGTCGGCACAACAGACCTGTTCAGCAGCCCCTGAGAAGAGGGAGCCTTCATTGAGTGTGGCAGTCACCGTGCAGGCGAGAAAACAGAGGCAGCTCCTTCCTTCTTCCCTTTCTGTGCCACTCTACTATACAGCGTAGACAGCGTATGGTAAGAAGGTATGAACAAAACATTATGAGAAGACAAAAAGTGCAACTTTTTTTTTTTTTGAGACGAAGTCTCTCACTATCACCTGGGCTGGAGTGCAGTGGCACAATCTTGGCTCACCACAACCTCCGCCTCCCAGATTCAAGCAATTCTCCTGTCTCAGCCTCCTGAGTAGCTGAGATTACAGACGCCTGCCACCACGCCCAGCTAATTTTAAAGGCAACTGTTAAATCAGTAAGATTGGGAAATTTTTCACAGAAAAGATAACTTTGGAACTGAGACTTAAAGAGTAAGTGGGATTTTACCAAAGGTATTCTGGATAAAAGGAATAGCATTTAACATGGCTCAGTGGCATGAGAGAGTATGATGTAATCAGAGACCGCTGGTTGGTTATTTGTGGTTGAAGTAGGCAGTTCCAGGGCATCAATGACAGGAAACAGACAAAGTGATGTGTTGGGGTCAGGTTGGAAGGCATCCACCAGCTTAAGAATTTAGGCTTTCCCTTTGACCATGGTGAATAATGGAAACGGAACGTTTGAAGCAGGGTAGCTGGGTGGATGACATGATTAGATCTGTGTTTTGGAAGAATAATTTTGCTACAGGAGGGGCTGCAGAGGGTAGAGCCAAGGAAGGGAAACCAGCTGGAATGCTAGCCCAAGAGAGAGATGACAGAGAATACATTATGAAATTAACAATAAGAATAAAGACTTGAAGGCTGGGCGTGGTGGCTCATGCCTGTAATCCCAGCACTTTGGGAGGCTGAGGTGGGTGGGTCGCTTGAGGTCAGGAACTCGGTACGAGCCTGGCCAACATGGTGAAACCCCATCTCTACTAAAAATACAAAACATAGCCTGGCGTGGTGGCATGTGCCTGTAGTCTCAGCTACTTCGGAGGCTGAGGCAGAAGAATCACTTGAACCTGGGAAGCAGACGTTGCCAAGAGCCAAGATCGTGCCACTACATTCCAACCTGGGTGACGGAGTGAGATTCTATCTTTAAGAAAAAAAAAAAAAAAGTCTTGAAGACAAATTCGGGATACCTTCACAGGATAAAATCAAATTACAATATTTGACTGCCTGGCAATGGTTTAATTTGCTTACATTTAAAATAATCAGCATCTAGAATTAATGCCATAACATTCCAAGGAAAGTATTAGTGAATTCAGGAAGATGGGGGGAGTAGAGGAAGTGATTTATCTAAATGTTACCTCTTTCCTGAACACCACTCATTCCCTGAAACATACAAATATGTCTACATCATGGCCACCGTCTCAGAAAATTCTTGTTTGCTTTGTTCCATGGAGAGAGGAGCTTTCTGTTTACATCAGATCACAGCACCATGTATTTCTCTTTCATAGCACTTACCCATTATGCTTCTACATTAATGTGAAGAATTACGGGATTATCATTAGTCACTAATGTTTGTCTCTCCCACTATACTGAAAGTTCCATGATGGCAGGAATTCTTACCTGTTATTGTTCATTTTATCTCCAGTACCTAATACATGGTAGATGTGCAATAAATAAATGGATGGATGGAAGGATATGGATGAATGAAATGGATGACTAAGTGGGTTTTGTTTGTTTGTTTGTTTGTTTTTGACAGTCTTTCACTGCTGCCCAGGCTGGAGTGCAGTAACGCAATCTCAGCTTACTGCATCCTCCCCCGAGGTTTAAGCGATTCTCCTGCCTCAGCCTCCTGAGTAGCTGGAATTACAGGCATGTGCCACCACACCTGGCTATTTTTGTATTTTTAGTAGAGACAGGGTTTCATCATGACAGGCCAGGCTGATCCCAAACTCCTGACCTCGGGTGATCCACCCGCCTCAGCCTCCCAAAGTGCTGGGATTACAGGTGTGAGCCACCTCACCCGGCCACTAAGTGGGTTCTGATCATGCTATTGTGTGATTTTGTTGTTGTTGTTGTTATGTCTTTTAAGATCTATCTAAAAATCAGTGATTCTTATGATTGGCTGATCATTAGAATCTCCTACGCAACTTAAAAATATACAGATTCCTGTTCTTCTTTACCACTGAGTCCTGACTGTGGTTATTTTGAAAATGCTACCATAGTACATTTCTGATGATGAACAAGGATTGAGAAACACCAGCCAACAGTGTCCTACGAGTATCCATTTACTTTTCTTCTGTGTAGTGCTGTGTTCATGTCTGTTAGAGCACTTAACTCATTGTATTGTAATTACTTATGTCTGTTTTCTATTAAACTGTAAGCTACATTAGTGTAGAGTCCATTTCCTAATTTTCTTTGTTTGTAAAGCAAAACCCAGGGCCACTCAAACAAAGAGTTGGCTCAACTGGCAGACTGAATAGTTTGCACCAGGTTAAGAGATTCTTGTCTGGGTGCCGTAGCTCAAGCCTATAATCCCAGCACTTTGGGAGGCCGAGACGGGCAGATCACTTGAGGTCAGGAGTTCAAGACCAGCCTGGCCAACATGGCGAAAATCCCTACTCTACTGAAAATACAAAAATCAGCCCGGTGTGGTGGCGTGTGTCTGTAATCCCAGCTATTTGGGAGGCTGAGGCAGGAGAATTGCTTGAACCCGGGAGACAGAGGTTGCAGTGAGTCGAGATGGTGTCTCTGCACTCCAGCCTGGGTGACAGAGCGAAACTCCATCTCAAAAAAAAAAAACAAAAAAACAAAATTAGCCAGGTGTAGTGGCACGCACTTGTAATCCCAGCTATTCGGGAGGCTGAGGCAGGAGAATCACTTGAGCCGGGGAGGTGGAGGTTGTGGTGAGCCGAGATCGTGCCACTGCACCCCAGCCTGGGCAACAGAGTGGGACTTCATCTCAGAGAGAGAGAGAGAGAGAGAGATAGTAACTCATTCTAAATAATGATAAAGCCTCCCATTGGGGGAACATTTTTGGATCTATCAAATGCTTATGATTATTGTATTAGTGAGAAACAAAAGTAAGGAGACAAGTTCCAAATAGAGGCTTCTTTTTACTTGCTTTGGTCTCACAAACCCATTCAGCTATGCCTGAGCATCATGTTATTACATGATGTAGGGATGAGCAATAACAAGGAGACAGTTGTTTTTCTCCCATCTTTATCTACCAATTTGCAATCATGACGGATTGAGTAACTTTTATTGTTCTACCATTAAGGAAGAAAAACAGAAAAAGAAAATGGCTGTAAAGTTGGAACTAGCAAAATTTCTTCAAGAAACCATGACAGAAATGGCAAGGAGGAACAGAGCGAAGATGGGCGATGCCTCTACACAGCTGTCATCCTACGTGAAGCAGGTGTCCATCTTTTATGTAATGCTAAACAACTTCAGGGTTGGGAGTTATATGAAAAACACATGTCATCATGGATTTCCCAAACTGTTCACCATCTTTGGAATTGCAAATATCTAAATTATGAACGTACAATATTGTAAACATTTAATATTATAAACATTGATAGTAGTTTGCAGAAAAGCCTGTCTTAAAGTAATCAGCATGTTGAAGACATTGATAACTTCTTGGAAAGAACGGTAAACTTAGAGTCAAACTTCTGAACTCCTGATTTTTCAGCTGATGTAGTTTGACTTCGGATGGATATCTTTTCTTTATACCACGAGACCCATTTCCAGATGTCAGAGAGAGTCCCATAAATGCTTTGGTGTCTCTTTCAAATAGCCTATTGGGAAAGTTAAATTAAGTAGGAAACACATTTTAATTGGCCTCTTTGTCCCACTGCATAGGTCCAGACAGGCCACAAGCCCAGCACAAAGGAGATAGTTCGCTTCTCCAAACTATTTGAGGACCAGCTGGCCCTGGAACACTTAGATCGCCCTCAGCTGGTTGCCCTTTGCAAACTGCTAGAAATGCAGACGTTTGGAACCAACAACCTGCTCCGCTTTCAGCTCCTGATGAAACTGAAGTCTATAAAAGCAGATGATGAAGTAAGAGCTTAACCATAGCTCTAGGGAATTAGCAAGGTTTTGGGAGATACCTTAGGGTACCTGTGGGACGAACTGTGCAGTATTGTTTTTGTTTTTGAGACGAAGTCTTGCTCTGTCGCCCAGGCTGCAGTGGTGCAATCCTGGCTCATTGCAACCTCTGCCTTCCGGGTTCAAGTGATTCTCCCACCTCAGCCTCCCAAGTAGCTGGGATTACAGGCATGCACCACCACACCCGGCTAATTTTTCTATTTTTAGTAGAGACGGGGCTTCACCATGTTGGCCAGGTTGGTCTCAAACTCCTGACCTCAAGTGATCTGCTTGCCTCAGCCTCCCAAAGTGCTGGGATGACAGGTGTGAGCCACCACGCCTGGATAGAAGTGCAGTATTTTCCATTGGGTCTGGTCATGTTGGGTTCTGACAAAATGAGTGGTTTAAACAACCATTACCATGACAACTTGAACCTTGATTACTCATTTGAGGAGTTGTCATCCCCTTACCCATTTATTGAGAAGGCCATCATAAGCAGTTAGTAATTTGGATGTCTTAGCTGGGACTCACCTAAAGCAGTTAGGACCTGCTGGGAAGGAAATAGCAGCTCAGTAGATTCCTGACAAAGCTCTGCTCCCACACTTGTGCTCTCATACCGGGAAGCTGGTGCCAAAGTCAATATTCTGCTGGGCGCATTGGCCTGCCAAGAAGGGGTAGTTGGCTTGGTATGCAAAACATAATGCTGGGAGGAAAAGCAGAGCCTCAACACCTTGTAGAAGAAAGGCACCCTTGGACTATAACTACTAATTAGGCTTTTTGAAAAAATGGAAGGAATGTTTCTTGACTCAGAATCAGCTGCTTTATAAGCATTCCGCCTGGGGGAGCAGGTTTCCCAGAACTGAGAAAGCATGATCCCTTTGGCCCCATTTAGATTTCAGTTGTTGCTCTTAGAGCTTTGCAATAAACAACACTGGTCCCAGAAATACTATAGTTTTGGGTTACGCCAAGCAGAAACTGTGTTATTTACTGAGGGAGTTTTGTGGATCAGTGTGTCAGGGCCATTTCTGGGGGTGGTGGGGGGACAGCAGGGGAAAACACTACAGGGACATGCAACAAATGGTACATTGTGAGTTTTTCAAGTGAACTACTTTTTTCTAATGAACCATAAAGCTGCCACGGAAGAGAAAAGTAGGTATGTCACAACCAGACAAAATGCAGATCAAGAGGGGAAATAATTACTCTGATGACAGAATGTTGGGGAGGAGTTGTGTAAATATCCCTAATATTGCTAATACCTGTTGGCAGGATTCCCGTTATTTCAACTGCCACCTCCCTACATCGCCTTTGCTGCAGCAGCCAGTGCAAGGTACAAAGTGTCCAAGCCTCCGATTCTGTTTCCACTGACTTACTGGAATTTAGGGATTGCATAAAATTGGAATCCAAAGCTCCAGCTCCATCCCTTACATTTCTTTCAGATAATTGCCAAGGAAGGGGTGAGGGCATTGAGTGTATCAGAACTACAGTCTGCCTGTAGGGCCCGAGGGATGAGATCATTGGGTCTCACGGAGGAACAACTGCGACAACAGCTCACGGAGGCAAGTAGCAGCACCCCTCCGGGGTCCGCTTCCCTAGAAGTCTCTTCTACAATATGCAGACCTCCTTATGTGATTTCTCCTTTGCAAGTGAACTGTCTTACCTAATTTGCCTTATTTCATTGAGCACTGGGATGTTGAAGAACTAGGTTGATTTTTCACTTTGATTGGGATCTCTGTCAGTTTTCCATTGCTGCCTACGAAATGACCATGAACTTAGTGGCTTAAAACAACACCGGTATATTAGCTCACAGTTGGTAGGTCAGAAGTGCAGGCTGTCTTCCTTTAGAGGCTGTGGGAAACGACCTGCTTCCAAGTTCATTCAGTTTGTTGGCTGAACCTAGTTCCTTGCAGCTGTCGAACTGAGGGCTTTGTTTCCCGGCTGGCTGTGAGCCCAGGGCTACTCTCAGCATCTAGTGGCCACCTGTATTCCTTGCCTCTTGGCCTCCTTCATCTGCAAAGCCAACATCAGAGAACTTCTTATATGCCAGAGCTTCCTTGTGCTTGAAATCTCCAATTTCCCCCGCGTTTGACCTCTAGCCCCAGACTGAAGGTCTCATGTGATTGGTGAGGCCCATCCAAAGATTCTCCCTATCTTAAGGTCAACCGACTTGGGACCTCAGTTACAGCTGTAGAATCCCTTCACACAGCACCTAGAATACTGTTGAATAACTAGGAAAGAGTGTGGGTGCTGTCGGGACAAGGTGTCTTGGAGCCACCTCAGAATTTTGACCTACTCCACGTAGTGTAAAGGGTCCTGGCAAAAATTTCAGTTCAAGGCCTGTTATCTGTGTGAATCTGTCTGGAGGTCCCCACTTTGCCGGGTGGCCCACCTGGGGCTGCTTTTCAGTTAGTGCCCCAAACCAACACACGCTGTGGTAACCCATGTTTAGTATTTTTCCTCAGATAGCATATTTGTACTTTAAGAGCATCCATGCTTTAAAACAAAGGAGTAACTCCTATTACATTTCATTCCCATCATTGTAAAAAATGCCATGAAGAGTGCGCAGATCATCTTAGGATACCAGCCTTGGCTTGGAAACCGTGTTAGGTCACTTTTTCCTCTCATATGTGGGACCAGCTCTGGTTGGAAGACAGCACATTGTAGAGAAAGATCCTTAAAATCATGTATTTCTTGAACGTTGGCTATGACATGGTCACTGCACAAGCTTTGTGAATTTTTTTTATGGTACTTTTTGAATTTTATCTTTTGTGCATATATTACTGATCTTAAGAAGACAGGGTCTCACTCTGTCACCCAGGCTGGAGTGCAGTGGCATTAACACAGGCCACTGCAGCCTCAAACTCCTGGGCTCAAGCAATCCTCCCACCTCAGCCTCCCTAGCTGGGACCACGGGCATGTACCACTATACCCAAATAATTAGAAAATTTTTTTGTAGAGACAGAGTCGCCCTGTGTTGCTCAGCCTGTGATTTATTCTTTCACATTATCTACACTTTGTCCAGGAGAAGATACTTGACTGGGTTGACAGTTTAACTGAATTCTCCGAGAGTGATTCCACCATAGTGAAGGAGTCGACAGGGTACCCCCTCAGTGCAGAAGCCAGGGCTGGGCTCCTGTCCGTGTTCTGCCGTTACTCATCACCTGAGCGGCTTGGCGGAAGGGGCGGGGGCGGTGGGAAGGTGTCGGCGAGCGAGGCGGTAGATCACCGCGGATCACTCCCGCTCTGGCGTTCTGTGACTCTCACGTGTTGTTCCCCTCCTGTTTTCCAGTGGCAGGACCTCCACCTGAAAGAGAACGTCCCTCCTTCCCTTTTGCTCCTGTCCCGCACCTTCTACCTGATAGATGTGAAGCCCAAGCCTATTGAGATACCACTCAGTGGGGAGGTGAGTACCTGGGCTCACACCCTCATCGTCCATCCAGCTGAGGCCTCTCCATAAACATTTGGTGTACTCCTGCAGTTAGAGCAGGCATTTCTTTTGGCCTTTTAGAATTTGGCCCAACTGGCTTTATGTTTTAAAAATTCCTGAAAAACCAACCAACCACAACAAAACAAAGGCCAGGCACCGTGGCTCACACCTGTAATCTCAGCACTTTGGGAGGCCGAGGTAGGTGGATCACCTGAGGTCAGGAGTTCGAAACCAGCCTGACCAACATGGTGAAACCCCGTCTCTACTAAACATACAAAAATTAGCGGGGCATGGTGGTGGGCGCCTGTAATCCCAGCTACTTGGGAGGCTGAGGCAGAATTGCTTGAACCTGGGAGGCGGAGGTTGCAGTGAGATGAGATCACGCCATTGCACTCCAGCCTGGGCAACAGAATGAGACTCCATCTCAAACAAAACAAAACAAACAGAAAACTGAAGCCACTCAGACTACCTGCAGCCTTAAGGCTGCTACTGCCTTTGAGCCCAGTTTGAGAATTTTACTAATAGGAGCAGTTTATTCCTTTTCCTTAACTATCTCATCTTCATTAGATGACTTGTGTGTGTGGGTGTTTGTTGCTTTCTCCTTTTAGACTGAATGTTTCCTGTTCATTTGTCCAGATTCCTATTAGTTTTTAAGCACTGAATAGCTAATCTAGAATGCCCTTCAACTCATTTCCTTAGTCATTTTTCTTCCTGGTGTTGTAGGGAAGAGCATAGGATTGGCCCAGTCACTATAGCATCTTGCGCTGGGCCCATCAGAAAGGGCCTCCCGCTTCTATAGCTGGTGGCTTCCTGTCTGACTCAGAACCCCGCATGAGTAAGAAAGGAGACTCTTGTAGAAGATGCTACACTGTGGTTTAGGGGATTAGTCCAAGTACTAAGTGAGGGCCATTTTATGTCTTATTTATGCTGTTGACTCCTTGGACAAGCCAAGGAAAATTATCTGAAGTCCAGTATGAAGACCCAACTTCAGGAAACACCATCTTGCTTTCCCTTTTCATATTTCTAGAGTAATCTGGTTTTGGGATTTGTCCAGGAAAAACTCTAGGGAGACTAGGAGCAGTTTCAGAGTATAGACCATGTTCTAAAAGGCAGGCTAGTGGGTTCTTATTCTATCCAACTCAAGGAACCATTCATGTGAGACAGACCAAAGTCAATAGTCATTCTTAGATTGCTCTCAGGGGCTAGGAAATCTTGGAGGAGCTCACTGTCTCAGCTAAATTTGGGTTCTCAGAATCATTCTAGAGAGCCATCAGCTCTTTATCCAGACGTTGCTTTCTGGAGTGGGTGAGAAAGGAATTAAGGACAAAATGATAAGCTCCTAAGCAATTTATTGGCTTTTTCCCACCCATGTTTTTAAACTTCTATTCTCCATGTATATATACAAAATGAGAACAAGTAGCATGCTAGGTTCTGTGAAGAATAGAGACATCAAATATACTGTAATTTTGGATGTATGTAGCCTTATCCCTCCAAAGTACACAAATAACTTTCAAAGCACAGTGATATATTTGTTTTTCAAATCTAATTCCTAAAGATAGGTTAGCTAGCTGTTCTATCACCACCCCCATTCTGATCGTAATCTATAATACCACTCCTCTCCCCATCTTCCCTGCATTACAGGAGCTTACCATTTTAGTAAATCAGGCTATTTTATCATTTATTATTAGATACTAAAAATGAAAAAGATGCAACATAGACCAAGTTATATCAATGCTATTAGAAAATAACTGAGACCAGGTGCGGTGGCTCATGCCTGTAATCACAGCACTTTGGGAGGCTGAGGCGGGCAGATCACCTGAGGTCAGGAGTTCAAAACCAGCCTGGCCAACATGGCGAAACACCGTCTCTACTAAAAATACAAAAATTAGTAGCCAGGCATGGTAGTAGGCGTCTGTAATCCCAGCTACTCAGGAGGCTGAGGCAGGGAGAACTGATTGAACCCGCGAGGGGGAGGTTGCAGTGAGCCGAGATCGAGCCACTGTACTCCAGCCTTGGTGACAGAGCAAGACTCCATCTCAAAAAAAAAAAAAAAAAAAAAGGAAAAAAAAAATTGAGAAATGGCTTTTTTTTTTTTTTTTTTGAGGCTGACAGCAGGACCAGTAGCATCAGTGGTTTACTAATGATTATTTTAAATGCTAGAATCTATCCGAGTGCAACTTTTGTATACAAAGGACTCAAAACTCAAAGAGAAATAATACTAAGTTGCTATGTCAGGGGCATATTTCATGGTACTCATCAAGGGTGGAGCTGGAGGAGGAAGCTAGGGATTTAGTGGAAAGCAAATTGTGCTAAAAAAGGCATTGACTACTATAAAAGTTTCTGGGTTTTAGGAAGAGCAGAAAGCTTATTATACATAAAATGTTTCTCTCCCCAGGCTCCAAAGACTGATATTCTTATGGAACTACCTACTTTCACTGAATCTAAAGAGAACATAGTGGATCTTGCACCTCAACTGAAGGGAACTAAGGTTAGACAGTTACTTTCCATTTGGTTAGATTAAAAAATGAAAATAGCAATGGGTCAATTTCTCCTGTTTTAATCTCCTTAATGAAACTGAAATTCAATACAATAATGTTCCTTAATAAGGAATATTTATTGTACTGTTTGATCTGTTTCTAAGAGGAAGCTTATTATTTGGCTATATGTAATTAGGTTCCAGATTTTGCCTTTTGAATCTTGTGCCAGGATATGAGGTAGCTGTGACAAGTTCCTGGTAGTCAAGGTAGTGGACTGTAGATTAATACATTTTGTTTTAAATCAGTAACCCAACTCTTGGTTCTGATGTTTAAGGATGAAGACTTTATACAGCCGCCACCAGTTACATCATCACCCATAACACCATCAACACCAATTTCATTACCTAAAGGATCCATCACTTCTTCTAAAGAAGCTGTAAGTATCTTTAATAAATGAAAAAGAAAAACCCTCTCCCTCCAGTTATCTTTAAGGGTAGTGAGAATCTAGAATTAGTCCTGTTGCAAAACACTGCACAATTCTTCCTGTTGTCCAAACAGGAAATTGTAGGCTGAACTTTAATCATCTTATAACCACGTTTTTTACTTCAACTATCCAAAAGCAAAAAACAACCAATACAATTGTGGGTCAGACTAAAACATGCTTACAAGCCAGTTACAATATAGGCAGACCCTTTTTTTCTTATGTGCCAGATGGAAGTAGTTTCCATGTGTTGTGTATTTTACACAGGCTTCTGATGTCAGGAAATACTAGCTGGAAAGCAACTTAAATTTCAGGAGAAATGCACATAAATAAGAAATTATCTATCATCCAGGCTTCCCAATTGGGTGAAGGGATTTGGGGCAAGAGCACAGGGCATGAAGAGTAAACAGTGGGGAGGTTGTGGGAGAGTTGAAGTGGGAAGTGGCTCCTGTGGACCAAAGACACGCTGGCAAGACAGAGAATCTATTAAGACACATATGGCTTAAGCCCAGAAAAGCATCCCAAGCACACACAGACCTTGTTTTTTGTAAATCTCCTGTATCTTTTATTACCAAGGTAAATTATAATCTCAGATTTGACTTTGTGGTCTGTCACTATTTTGATTAAGAAAACAAAAATGGCATTCACTCCTTAAGAACTTACATGTCTGTGACTAATGCCTACAGTCCTTTTGTTTTTTATGCCTAGACACTCCAGGCCAAATCACAAATGACGGCCCAGAACAGCAAGGCTAGTTCAAAAGGAGCATAAGGACAACTTGAGGATGGAGCTCACTCTCTCCAGCTTCCGGCCCTCAACAGTGGCATCTGTAAAGGACCTCCCAGCTAAGACTCTCTGTCTGGCTTCAGAGAGTGGATCACTCGTTTAGCCCATGGGGCAGTCCTTTGAGGCCTGGTAACCATTCCAGGTGATGTGAGTAGTGAGACCAAGTTCAGACCCCTTATAAAAATATAATTGCAAAGTCCCATTTCCTCTGTGCCATTGTCACCCCCCACCATGTTGTTTTTTTTAATTTCATGTGTACGTCCCTTAAGAGAGGAAATTTTTTTGCACAATGGAATCAGCTTGGCACCTTAGATACCTCTGTCTCCTATGGCTTGGAATTCTGAGTAAGAACTTGGAAGTTCCAAAAACCATTTTAGGAGCACCTGATTAACTTTCTGAATGATCCACCAGTAGAATCAGCACCCTGGAAACAAAGTACCTTATGAGACGGGATGGATATACTCCCCAAAAGATCTTTGTGGATATAATGAAGCTTCTTGGAGAAAATGGGGAGTTAAACAGACTGGCAATCAGAAAGATTTGGCTGCTTCTGACATCCCCCTCTTGGGCCTGCAGAGGCTGCAGCAATCTGCTAGGCAGCCACTCTTCTAGCGCATATGGCTTTCATTAGCCACCATTTTGCTAGGAAGCATAATTAAGGGTTTAAACCTTAATCATTTGTTTGTGTTGGGTGTGTGTGTGTTTCTGGCCAGTTTGTCTTTCACAAGACTATTTATTAGTCATAGGGGTTGTGAAGGTCTGATATAATCCCTGTGCTACCCAGCAACCAGTATCACATTAGGATATTTATGTTTGATGTTTTCAGTATTAATAATACTGAAATAATAGACTGCCATGCAGCTGACCAAGGGCTTTCTTCCCTTGGGGAGTGGTTAGAAGGCCAAAGGTATTTCAGCCTGTAGGTGATAAAATTAGATTTACTTGCTGTGGTTAGACAGCAGTCAGTTAAAATAAGTAAAACTCAACTGTCCTGTCTGGGATCACCTAAATGAGGAACGTCACCAGCACTTCACAACAAGAATATGTATTCTACAGTGCTTTCTAAACTTCTGCTCCATCACAGAAGCCCCACCATGTCCCACTAATGAAGCCCAGTTCTTTGGGAATGATGAATCCCTACTGTGCAAATACAGCAGTCATGGATCTTGCCTAGCGAGGTGATTCACAATACATTTTCCCGTTTCAAAAATGACAGGTGTTTTAATTAGTCCACATTTCAGGTGTTAAATGTGGGAAAAGGATTAGCTAGTTAAACTTGCTCAATCATGTTTTAGCTGAATGAGTCACAGGTACTGCTGGGCTGTCCTACAGTTCCTTCTGGCTTTCCCTCCGAGCAGGGTGGGAATGAGCAGTGACCCCGTCAAAGGACCCGGGCCACTTGATACACCTCTCCTCCCACTCTCCTGCTAGCAGCTCAGAGAAGTCAAGGATGTTTCGTTGTTCTCATCACTTAGGGTGCTTGGCTGTTGGGTTCAATGATCCTTACATCTAATCCCAGCTAGTGGTGTTCTGGTAAATCGTTAACCACCAACTCTTTGAGGGGGAAAAAGCCCTGATTTATAGCATCTGGGTATTCCAGTGATATAAATCCTCACACCATGTTGATTTCAAGCCACTGCCAAGGTACCACTGGACAGTGCAGAGCTGGGAGGAGACATGCAGTATCCCCTGAGAGCAAGCACCACACACCACACTGGTGCTAGCCTCCCGGGGTAATGAGACAGTTACACCTCTAGTTGGCATGTTTATGAAATAGATCCCTTCTGTGTGCGGAGACCTGCATGTGGGGCAGTTACGGTGGAAATGCTCCTGAATACTGGAGGGTCCACCTAGAGGGAACCCGCCCAGACCAAGTCTTAGCAGTTGGGTTCTTACTGACCACCCACTTCTCTGGCTCTCCTCAGCAGAGGGAATGGAAGGCTGTTCCGACTGCTTCAGAGCTTTCTCCTCTCTGCTCCCTTCTCTATACATGCAGATGCCTTGGCTCTACCTGCTGCTAATGATCTCATTGGGTATGACTTTTGACTTTTTTTTTTATTTTTTGAAACGAAGTCTTGCTCCTGTCGCCCAGGCTAGAGTGCAGTGGAGCGATCTTAGCTCACTGCAACGTCCGCCTCCTGGGTTCAAGCAACTCTCCTGCCTCAGCCTCTGGAGTAGCTGGGATTAAAGGCATGCACCACCACACCTGGCTAATTTTTTATTTTTGTAGAGATGGGATTTCACCATGTTGGCCAGGCTGGTCTGGAACTCCTGACCTCAGGTGATCCGCCTGCCTCAGCCTCCCAAAGTGCTGGGATTATAGGTGTGAGCCACTATGCCCAGCCACTTTAGGCATTCTCTAAAACCCAACTGCAGTGATGCTAGATGTGGCCTGTGTCTCACATAGAATTCTGCTACAATAGAGAGGTGGTGGCCACTAACACTTATGGCCTTGCACTTGTGTCATGTCTAATTCTATACTTAAATCATTCCAAAACAAGCCGTATCAGTGCTGTCCAATCAATTTTTCCGTAATGCCAAATCTAGGCTAAAGAGTTCCCACTCACCACCAACACATACTAGCAGGTAGTAGTTGGACCAATGTGACCTGAGAGCTGACTGGTGGTTCACCTAATGCCAACTGAAACTTCAGCTCGCTGGCTCCACCCAGTGGTAGCTAATAAGCACAGCAACCTCATTAACATTGAGACAGATTTCCTCCCTCATCTGATGTTCAATCTTACTTACCTGAGATCAATACATTACATTAGCAGGGCCAAGGGACCGATGATCTTCAGCCTATGGCAATTAGAAAAGACGGAAAGGCAGTATTGATTACTGCTGTGGTGATCCCAGCCCTAATCTTTTAACCCTCAGGAAACCAGACAGACTCAGTGCCTTGATGGCACAACATCTTCATTAGATAAACTGGATTCCTTTCCTCAGGAGACCCAATCTGGTCCTCTACGTAAAATGGCCATTTCATTTTCTCTCAGGTCAATTTCACTGTCTTTTATGTGACAGCTAGTGCAGTCTTTGGGGAAATTCGTGGGTGATTTGAGTAGTAACAGCAAGGACATCACTGTAATTATGATAGTGCCATATATTTTTCTAGCACCTCTCCCAAGGGCTTATGAAGCCTTTTAGAGTCTTCATCCCTTCACACAACATTGCTTCAAGGTAGGGCCAAAGCAGAATATCATCACTGTTTTACAAGGAAAGACACTCCTGTGTGGTCTCAAAGCAAATGCTTTTAAGAGCTAAAAATTCCTTTCCCAGCTCTTCACCAAATGCCTTCTTTAAACATAAATACAAATTGTAATGTTAGCAGGTGCGTATTTACAGAGAGAAACAAAGATAATTTTACAATAGTGACCAATACTGTAGCTGCCAAAAAAAATCCTAGCTCAGAAATTTAAAGCAGCAATCCCATTTTCCCTACAGAAATGAAAACATACTGAACTTTCTTTTGTATTTAGCAGTAATCCAGCAAAATGTAAGCTTTAATATAGCGACTGAGGAGTGGTAGTTTGAGCCATGAGGTACCGGGGAGCCAGAATCCGCCTGGTGAGGACAGTGATGACCAGCAGGTGGCAGAAGTAAATTCCAAGCAGCCAAAAAAACAAAAGCATTCGGAGAATTTTCCCCCCTTCCTGAGGGGTAGGGTGGAGTTTGGACAGGAAGAACTGTAAGAAGCCAAGATCTGCGACAGTCCCAATAAATACAGTCTGGTCACAAGGATACAGGAAGGACGATCTGGGGAGGAATACCAACAAGAAACGAAGCCAGGGACCTGAATGCAGAACTAGCCTCAGGTGACATGTTCTCCTGCACTTACAAGCACCGGCAAAACCACGCCCACACAGATGGGGGCAGACACATGTCTGGGTTTCAGTTTCTGCAGACCTTCATCATTTGCTTTCCTTTCTGTTTTCTCTGTCGCCCAGGCTGGAGTGCAATGGCACAATCTCGGCTCACTGCAACCTCCGCCTCCCAGGTTCAGGGATTCTCCTACCTCAGCCTCCTGTGGAGCTGGGATTACAGGCGCGTGCCACCATGCCTGGATAATTTTTATATTTTTAGTAGAGATGCGGTTTCACTAAGTTGGCCGGGATGGTCTCGAACTCCTGACCTTACGTGATCTGCCCACCTCGGCGTCCCAAAGTGCTGGGATTACAGGTGTGAGCAACTGTGCCCTTGGCTACCTCTTAATCACTTTAGCTCTACCTGGTGGCTATTCCTAGGTAGGTGCCCCCTCCCCAGCCCAACCCCACCGGTTTCCTTGGAGGAAACCATCCATGGTGGTTGGCTGCTGGGCCTTGACTCTCCGCCCAGCGCGTCTAGTGCATGGATGGGGTTCCTGCCCTCGACGCAGACATCTTCTTTTTCTGACTTTCCAAAAGTAGCGGAGAGGCAGGAGGTGCGTCGTGAGGTCTGGGTGCAGGACCTAGGAAGAAGAGGTTACAAGGAACCTGCGCCAGGAGCGTGCAGTGCCCTCGGGACAGACCTAGCCCCAGGGCCCGTGGGTGTCTCTTCTTTCCAGTGGACATTCCCACCCTTTTCACACAGCCCATAGAAAAATGAAGCAGCAGCAATTTTTATTGAGGGACCTAAACTGAAAATAGGTTTAGAACATAATTTAAAAAAATAAAACAGCAAAAGTAGCAAAAAATATATGACCTTTTTAAAAACATTTTCCTTTTTTTTCTTTTTTCTTTGTTTTTAATATATAGCAACTGATGCCTCCCAGCCACCAGGAGCATCTTACCCGATGGGTAAATCTCTGGTAACGACCCTTTTAAAAAGACATGTAAATATATACTCAGATTTATACACTTTGTGTTTTCTTCATAGCTATGTACAGAGCCCCCAGTTCGGGGCTGGGCCCCAGGGCCACAACACTGCCCCCAACCTGGCCTTCACCTCACCATCCTCTGGTACCAGGCATTTGGTGAGCAAAGCAAACTAGTATCGGAATTAGTAAGCCACTGGCACCACCCATCTGGAGCAGAGGTCACCTTCGATCGAGGCTGGAAGCACTGACCTCCCTACTGCTGTAGCCCTGAGGACAAGGCACGTGCCACCAGAGTGCAAGGGGCTTATGGGTGAAGGCGAAACAGACCAAACCGACACGAGAAAGCTCAGGAAGCTCTCACTTGCATGCCTGTTCATCGGCTCCCACTCCCCGCCCTCTAGGCAGTGCCTGGTGGCAGGGAGGGGTCTTGGTCCAACATCTGGGAGGGGATGAAGTGGCCGGCAGCAAGGATCTGCCTCTTTGCACCTCTCACCAACAGGTGGAGAGGAGGCGGAGGAAGAGGTGAGCTGAGCGGGGTGAAGGCAGGCCACACAGGAAGGCCCCCGGTAGGCAGCGGGCTCCTGCCAGCAGGAAAGGGGACAGGGACGGACAGGCAGTGGGCCTGGCAGGGGCTGTGGGTGAGGGTTACAGCTGATGGTAGAGTCTGGGGAGGGCGTGTGGGTGGCAGTCAGCGGCGTTTGAGTCCGCCATTGGCAAGCTGGGCTGGGTGTCGGGGCAGGCAGGGCTCCTCGGGCAGCGGCTCATGAGAGAAGACGGAATCCTCCCCTGAGGAGCATGTAGAGCTCCGGGTGTCGGGAAAGCTCGGGGAGTACTGGTCCAGGGGCATGGACAGGTCCAGGTACTCCTGTGATGGGCGAGAGGAAGCAGTGATGGGCCGGGCCCCTCCTCCCTACTCAGGGAGGTGCATGCACGCAGTGGGGACAGCCTGAGCTCTGGCTCTGGCATGGGCAGCCTTACCTGGTTGGAGGTCAAGGCCACAATGCGGTCCAGGTCTTCCACCAGCTGCTTGAAGGTGGGTCTCTGTGAGGGCACTGCATGCCAGCAGTCCCGCATCATCATGTACCTGCAGCAGGACCGTAAGGTCAGGGAGGAAGGACCGCCTACTGGAGATGGACACCCTCTCATCTAGCCCCCAGCAAGCCCACTCTTGCCCCAGGGCCTGGCTCAGGGCCTCCGACATCTCCTCGGGCTTACAGCTCGTTGGTGCAGTTACTGGGCTTGTCCATGCGGTGACCCTCCTTCAGCAGCTTGAAAAGCTCCTCCACAGGCACACCAGGGTATGGGGAGCCGCCCAGAGTGAAGATCTCCCACAGGAGCACCCCGAAAGACCACCTGCAAATAAGCGGAGAGCCACGGGGTGTTAGAGCTTCTCCACCTCCCCTCCTCCAGCACAAATCCTCCACCCAGGGCAGTGCCAGGAGACAGAGTGGAGAACAGATCAGCCTTTCAACATCTGGAGCAGAGGAAATGACCACAGACAATGTTTTGTTTTCCTCTCTGGGGTGGAAGGAGGACTCCTCAGTCCAGGGAGAATGCAGGACTCTGCAGTGCTAGCAGCTCTCTATCCCACACCTCCCTGGCAATTGCTGTTACAAACTCACACATCACTCTGGTGGGTGTAGATCCGGTCAAACAATGCCTCGGGCGCCATCCACTTCACAGGCAGTCGACCCTGAAAGCAGCACAGGGGAGGTTGGGGTGGCCCCAGGCAGGGCTGTGAGAGCACAGGTGGGAAGGGATGGGGGGGGGGGGTTGGTTCTGAGCCCACCCCACTCCTAGCTTCTCAGATGAAACCACCAGCATAGGGCAGCCCCGTTGGCACTCACATTGGTTGTCTTTTTATAGTAGTCGATGTGGTGAATGTCCCGTGCGAGGCCAAAGTCTGCTATCTTCATCACATTGTCCTCTGTCACCAGGACATTCCTGGCGGCCAGGTCTCGGTGTATGCACTGAGGACGGAGGAAGGGAGAGTGGGAAGCGAGGAGGTGAGGGAGCTGGAAGGCTCTGTGGGGGGTGCTGCCACCCATGCAAACTGGCCGACTTGTGTCATAGGACTTCTGCCACACTGCTCTGCCCCCGAACCTCTGCTTTCCCTCCTCTAATATTCTCTGCCAGCATCAGGCTTCTCATCACAGCAAGTGCTCCTCCCTTCCCTCCCCAAATGCTGGCCCCTTATGCCTCTGCTGGGTCTGCAGGGGTGCGTGCTCCCAGGTCCTGCCTCCCAGCACTGCAAGTCCACATGTGGCTGGGCTCA